TTAATGCCGTTATAACATTTTCAATATCTCAATTCTATCGACTAGGTGTATGGTGTCAAGTTAGCACTACATACCATTTTTTCTTAAAAAACGAGAGCTACAAATTTTTTCTTTCCACAACAAATTTACAACAAAAACACTACACTTAATGCCGTAGTTAACTTTTCCAATTTCGAAAAGTGTAGTGCTAACTTGACACACGTGACCAATACTGCTCCATCTTCGATCCATCTATGTACCACTCCACATGCTCTCACGCCAGCCTTCGACTTCTACAGTTGCTTCGAAGCTTTCCCAAAGTGCAGATTTGGTAACACGTAGTCAATCTGACCGCACGACCTGCACATAAACTGGCACATAGCATACAGCCTAGTATTTGACGCTAAATTTTTGGCCGATAGGTCCGTTGGCAAGAGGTGCAACGCGGTGTAGATTGCTGCCATTGGTGTAATCCAAACTTTCCCTAGCATGACGATCATTGGTAGCCTATATACACTTTCCATTCACTTAAGACATATTTTCTTCTCATTTGCTGACCACAAAACCAATAACCCATGGAACAGTATCGGCCTAACTATCGCCGTAAAGTTCCAATGAGGAAGAGAGGGCGATAAGCCACAGGTTTTTGAAGGTTCACGATAGCTTACTATCTAGTATTATTCCGAGGTACTTGAAGGTTGACAGAGGAACTTGGCTTTACTTGATGTTTCTGATTGGCACCGGTTAGCCGAGGAAGAAAGGCCTGGCGCTTTCTCTCAAGCCGTTATAGTGCCGTTTTCTGGTCTTGGCTCAAGCCAACAAAGGCCTGGTCTAAGATCCCATTTAATTTCCTGCCTATTGCACCAGTTGAATATTGTACTCTGGGTTACAACAAAATTACTGAATTACTACCTAAGGATCGGGTATTAATAATGCAATCATCAACACTTGTAAAATTGTAATAGTTAATACTATCTAAATATTTGTAGGTATCTGCCACTTTGCATCTTGCAAATTATCACACTTCAGCATGAAACATTGCTTATTTGCAAGACCTATGACTGCTGATTTCTTTTGTGTGCGATTTTTCGCTGTTATTTCAGCTGTCAGTAGGCAAACGAAGGCGTGCTGGGCAGTTGCAAGTGTTGCACTGTTTATTATTCCATTGCTAGCAAGTAGCTTATTTCGTTTTTTTATAAACTGTGCAATACTGGTAGAAAACTTCTCCGACAGACGTCTACGCCCGCAACCGCTCATGCTAACGCTTAACAGTAACAGAGCAAAGTACGCTTTTGGCGCAAATTTCGCAAATCGCCAAAGAACAAGGCAAACAATCACAACGAAAAACTAATAACCAAAAGACAACTGCTCAGCAGCAGTTATAGAAACATCAAAACAACTGCAACACAGCAACAATAAAGCGCCGCACTCAACAATGTACATACAATAATATTAACAACAATAAAACACTTCAACTGACACTTGCGTGAAGCGTTTTGGGGGCGACGCGGTGTGGCGCCGTTAAGCTTGATATTCACATTGGCAAGAAATTTATTATTATTGTTGGTGGTGGTGGTGGCTGATTGTAAAGTTGCCCTTTTGCATTGTTTATGCATTTGGCGCAAAAGTTTGCTCGAACACAACGCCCCAAAATCATAAACTCATAAAGTTGTCGATGAAGTGAAGCCAAAACCGAATCCAAAGCCAGAAGGCTGCTGCCGGCCGCGCGGCCACCGCAGTATTCACAGCCGCCAAGCCACAAAAGTGTGAGCACACAAATCCAGGAGCAGTCACTAGTATTAGTAGAGATAGACAAAAGCAACAACAATGCAAAGATACATTGCTACTTTTAGCGCCAGCGGCGGTGAGCGGCCGCGTTCATCCTACTTACCACAAAAACCACATCCGACCGCAGCGTCCCAGCCGCGCTCTGATTTCGCAGCATTGTTGCAGCAAAAAACAACAAAAAATAAAAATGCTGTGGCTATTGTTACAAGTTTTTGTTGTTATTGCTTTATTATTACTTCTATAGCTGCTAGCTCTGATTACATCTGCGCGCGTTGCACTGCACATTGACTCATCGCTGCGCCCTCAAATGCTGCCTGGCTTCGAGGACGCATTGTTTGTTGGTCCTTTGGTTGTTGGTTGCTGGTTAGCTTTTTGGCTTTCTGACTCTTGAATGCTTAATTTATGCGCGCGAAAAATATTAAAATCGCATGAATTAAACATTGGCTATGTTGGCAAGTAGCGCTCGGCAGCAAATCAAGCAGTCCGGCAGTAAAGGCGAAAACAATAACAACTCCAGTTTTAACAACAGCTTGCTACAATGCAATAGTGCTAAAGTACTTTACTCACTTCTGCTAGCTCAAGGTTGGCGATTGAAGCAAATGGTTTTTTTTGTTGTTGCTGCTGCTGTAAATGTTGCAATTGTCACAATATACAGCAGCTATTGGCTAGCACAGCGGGGCGTGTGAATTGTATTTTATTGCATATTTTACTACAACATTGCAGCAATATTTACGTACCACCGCTATATGGTGGTACGGGCGCGCGCTCATCTGCGTTTCCACGTGAATAATCAAAGCGCGGTGCACCAGCAACTTGCTTGCAGAAGGTATATGCATGCATACATACATACCTCTAAGAGTATTTTTGTGTATTTATGATGATTGCCTTTTATCGATTTATGCAAATGAAAAGTGAAAATTTTACAATTTTCGTAGAGGCAAAAATTTTTGAGTACCAAATGATTGCGCGCTCATAAAAGGTCAGCTGGGCGAATATGAAAATGCTGAAATAATAAAAAAGACAGGTACTACTAATACATGCGTTACAATGAAACTTTGTGTTGTTTAAATGTAAATAAATCTTGACTCCTTATTTAATTTTCTTTTTCTTCCTATTTTAATACTTTTATCTCTACTCCCATTTCATTTCTCCCTTCTCTCTTTTCATTTCTCTATTCTCCCTTTCTTCTCTCCCTTCCCGCTCTATCTTCTCTCTCTTTCTTCTCGCTCTATATTCTCCCTTTCTACTTTCCCCTTATTCGTTCTCTCTTATTCTCTCTCTTCTTCTCACTCTCATCTCTCTCCTCCTCTCTCTTCTTCACTCTCTTCTTTGTCTTCTTCTCTATTTCCTTCTCTCTCCCTCTCCTCTGTCTTCTTCTCTATCTTCTAATCTCTTCTTCTTTCTATTCTTCTCTCTTTTTTCTATGTTTCTCTATTTTGTTCTCCTACATTTCTTCCAGTTTTCATTTCTCTATCTCTTTATCTCTTTCTACCGCTCCTCCTCTCTCTTTTCCTCTATGTAAACCCCTACCTTTCTTTTTCACCTCTTTATGCCCCTCCTCCCCAACTCCAAATCCGTCGCTGTTTCCCTCTTTCTTTGCCCCTACTCCTCCGCCCATCTCTCTTCTTTTTCTCTCTTCTTTTCATTCGTACTTTATTCCTCTCTAGCTCACTCTGTTTCTAACTGTCTGTCATTCTTTCCTTCTTTCTTTCTAATCCTTTCCTTCCCTGTCTCTATCTGACGTTATTATTTTCTCGTCCCCATAAGGAATGTTTATAAACTTTCAAGTCAAGCTGGGAATCATATCAAGACAACTTGTAAGCTTAACAGGCCTTAGTCACTCAAATTGGATGTGAATATTTAAATGGAGCAAAAATTTCCAAGGTGGTATACGACCTCCATAACTTGTGTAAATAAATGAAGATCTTAACGACTCAATGAGCAAAAATTTAGCAACTAAGAAGAGTTTAGAGGAACCTAACATCCCATAAACCCGATTGGAAAGAAGTTTAAAGCATCACAGGGGGTAGACGACAACGATACGAAAAACCCAAACATATCCAATTTTCTTAGTAATGCCCTCATATCAGCCTCTCTTCTTCTTATTTAGCTCTACAACCATTCGTCGGTAAGGGTGGAGACCAAGGCCTTTTCACGGTTTCCCAAGCGCAGCCTACTGACTCCTTCGCTTTCGAATGAGTGTTCGGAAGCTACGCAGAGTATACTTGATGTAAACACCGGTAAAAATAATCATTTCTGGTCACTCCCTGGTGAATGGTAGTCAAAACCTCTCCCAACATGCGTGAACTTCTGCAGCCGGAAACACCCTCACTCACCCAGGGTGTAATTGGGATTACGTCTTTACCAAACTTAGCGGAATTCCGAGGCCCGCGGCTTTTGAACCAACGTGACGTAGCCAGCGGAAAATCTGAACGTGCCCGCTCAATTTATAACCTATAAGTCATTGCGGTCTTTAAGATGCTAGAAACGCAGGTCATTCAGATCATTTTGTCAGAGAGCCAGGCAGCAACTCATGGATCCCAGGGCCTAGGGATTGAGACAGCGGATGAACTAGCGAGGTGCGGCTCTGCACAACACGATGGATCTAGGCACCTCGCTCAGGGAAATTAACAGCGAATTTTCGACTCGAAAGCAAAGGCGGACCTGTACAGATTCGTATAGGATTATCAGACAGATTTGGAATACCTACGACTGTCTTAAAATAAGGTTTTATTGGAAATGGGACAGGGGAAATGACCTAAAAACTCACGGCTGCCACACAGAACTCTGATCCGCGCATTTCGAGAGGCTCTGCCGCTGCTTCTGTGAATAATGGAAAACAGATTAGGGATATAATGTTTATAGAATCAGCCTTAGCTCATGGCGGGGACAGACATTCTAACAGCCGTTGCAGTGGACCAAAGGACAGGAAAAACTTCAGCTTTATATTTGAGCGCTAGGTGACCGGAGAGGCGAAATTGTTGGCAGCCCAAAATCAGAACGAACTGATACAGTAGACTTAAGGTTTTCTGTTCATCAGCCAGGAAATCCACCTAACACACTCCCATAGAAACCCTCCCAGACGCCAACATTCAGAATTTTATAAAGAAAACTGTCTAATGAAAACTTCTTCGCAATCAAAGCATAAAACGTAACTATTTTCTATCTAATAAATCCTATCGCATTTATTGCGAATTAAATTACAAATATCAAGTTAGAGTCATGAACGCTAGCTATAAACGCTACCACGATTTATGTATCACTTACTACATTACATATCAACAATTTGCCTGCAGTCGCTTTGCTCTGTAAATCTGTGGCAATAAAATTCAAAACATTTAAAAGCTAAGGGGCCAAAAGAAAAAAACTAAATAAATAAATATTACTATAAAGTTTGCACTGCAAAAACTAGCGGTCATAAATGGCTGCCCACAGCAAAGGCAATCGACACTTTTCCTCCAACAAAAAAAGGAAAAAACAACGAATGCGCTTTTTTATGGCCGCGCATAATACAAACGAGGCGTATGAAAAGTGTGAATGAGTCGTGCAAATGAAGAAAAACACCAACAACAAACCGAAAATGAAAAACGCTTTGCGGCAAATGAGAAGTTTGCAAATTTTTAATTTATTTTATGTGGCAGCGCTAACAGTGAGTGGGGCGCTACAAACCCAATGCGGACAGTTGAGGATTCAAAGCGGCCTGAAGCGACGCGCGCAACTTTAAAATACTTAAATATTTATGCATTTTATGCCAGCAGCGGGCGAGCGAGCAGCCGGACAGCATGACCGCTCGGACCGGTCAATAGTTGGATGTTTGTGTTGCATGCAACACTTTTGCACCCACGGCAGCATTGGCGCATATACATATTTCTTCGTTTTCTTCTTCTTCTTCGCGAAATAGAGTCATAAGTTGCACTAAAGTAATGACGCTTAGGTTAGCGGCACTTATTGAGGCAGAGAGATCAACAGCAACAGCAAGAGCAACAGCAACAACAACAATAATATGCACAGTGCAACAATATTTGCTAAATGCCTTAGTTACGATTGCCTTTTCTCGTTATTTTTCAGTTTTTCTCGCTTTTATTATTGTTGTTGCCACTGGCCATTACGCGCAGGCGTTTATTGCCACACTGGCCAATACTTGTATGTACTTATATTTAGTTTATGTTGGCCGCCTGACGCGCCACTCTATTGACCATTTCAGCCTTGCAGCAATCACACTTGCAACATGTTGCATGCTGCTGCTCCTCTACTTTCCCCCACTTCTTCCTCTTCTTGCACATTTTTATTACGAATGTACATGTGTATCTTCTTTCCTGTTTTGCGTTTCGTCAGCATCGTTAATTACGCATTTGCTGACTGCCAGGTTGCCGGTTGCCTACGTAGCCTTTTTTATGTGCCTAGTTTGTTGCATGTGGCATGTACTGCTGTTGCATTGTATTCGGTATTTATTAGCGTTGATTAGTTCTTTCGCCTTGTTGACAGCTTTTACGACTTTTTCCTTTCTCTATGCAAATTTGCGTGGTTGCCCGGTTTATGCTGGCGTAGTGCGGGATCAGGCAAGGCACTAATCCCAGTAGGAAATGCTTGGTGGATTAGATATTAGATTATTTTTAGAGGTGGGAGAAAGTCTCCTAAATAAGCCCAAAATTTGACAAGTGCTACCTTACAGCGCAGTCGGCGGTAAGAAAGCCTTATGCTATTCTTACGTCGTGCCTTGTAAAGTGAAAGAGTGCCATGATTCTCCTTGTTGTAGAATAGACGGCATTTCCAGACGTTATAGTTTCGTCTCCACAGCATCCCATTGCAGATCAATGAATGGTCCGGGGCATATAAAATACTGTGCTTGGCCTTTTCTGACAAGGATATCTATAAATTCGTTGCTCATTGTTCGATTGCAGAGGCTTTTCGGGAAGATTTGGGTTTTAACCTAATCGTTGTACTTTGGATATACACCAAAGTGATACGTTCGATTCTATGGACAGCCTTACGGAACCAATAATTGAAGTAAAACTAGGCAGAGTTAAGAGGACCGCATGTGTGGGGACTACACACATATTATGAAAACTTGCCCTACGGATGCACACCATATCTATTATTAAAAAGCTATTTCCCGTTGACCTTCTCACCTCGCCAGTATCCACTGTAAGACTCAAGTGCTGAACACATTGAAAACGATGAGCTACGGGCCACAGCTTCCAATTTGTTCTCTTCATTAACTGAACGCTTTGTCGATGGCGACATGAATTTTTTGAACGCGGCAGCGATATCTTGAATTTGTATGTCGCTGGATAAATAGAAATGGATCAATCTAGCCACAACCACAGTTGTCGCGAAAATAATTATAAACATAAGAATACGTGGAAAAATAATTTGACAGCTGTGGTCCGTAGCTTGTGATTTTCATTGTGTTCAGGCTATCAGAGAAGTTGCTTCGTCATATAAAAGAAAGACAGGACATCGTTTACAAACGATCTGAAATAGAATATCCCAGGCCTTTCGAGTCGTCGATGGCCGAGTCGAAAGAGGAATGTGATACTTTCGCTTAAATAATTTATCTGTACACCGTTGGCAGCAAAAGAGAAGTTGAAGTTGGCACAGGCTTCTTCTTCTAATTCTTAGTAGAGGGATGATCAAGTCCATCTGCTTGAACTTTCGAGTTTTTTCCGAAGGTTCCTCATTGGCCATAAACGCGGACCAGATTTCAACCCAATCGAAACTATGTATTTATATGCGGGGAAATTTTCTACACAATCTTTAAAATCGGATAATATCATTACGTCACAAAACCTATGAAAAAGAACACAAAACCTGTTACAGATGACCACACCTGACTTTTCGGGACTAGTAACGGTTCTTAACGGTAATTACCCCTCGCTAGAGGGCTGTAGAAGTTGCAGACATGAATACGAACAAGATACATTACAGCTCCATCTTCGCAGATATTCGGGTTTATTGAGAAGCAGGAATACCCTAGACTAGGAGCAAAGACCCATTTGATAAAAGCCTCCAAGACATACGTGTTCATCCCAGCCATGTTTATTTCGAGAGCAGGGCTACAGCTCTGTTATCAGAGTAAACATAGTTAGATATGTAGTTAACACTGGCAGCCATTACGATACCGTGGTCGGTCTTGAAGTCTTATAATGTTTAGGTTATTCAATGGAAATTGCTTTATAAATCCGATCTATCGGTTTGGGTTTGAAGCCATAGTTTCTACTCATTTTGAATGCCTTCAACTAGGTCCGGATCCCATAAGAGCTTGTCATCAAAATTTAGTCCGACGTATCTTAGTAGCTAATCTAGATAATTTATATGTTTTCCTTGAATAAATCATTGTTAAAGTTGTACGCCTTGCCCTTGGGTGGGTAAACTGGTTCATGGTTAAGGTGAAAGAAAATTTTAGTACATTGAATTTCCAATTGGGTCCATTTAAAAAGAAACATATACAGCACCTATACGTATTTGTTCATTGATGAGTCCATATACATAAACTGTTGTTCATTTCCCGCCATTCGCTTTTATTGTTATTAGCTATTTATTTTTTTATTTTTTCAGTGGCGCAGTCATATGTCTGGGCATACTAACATATCTTGTATGTACATATGTCACCATATATGCATTGTAGCGATTGTCGGATTTACGACTTTTTCCTAGCTACTTATATTACATACGTACATCGATTTCTTTTCAACGTTAATCCTTTTTTACATTTCCACATTCGTAATTCAATCGGCTAAATGCAAATATCGTTAAATATTATTAAGTTTGCGTTTCAAGTGTCGTAACAATTCTACCCTTAATTAGATTTTCTTGTTTAGCGTGTAATTAAAAAGTGGTATTAAATTTCATAGTACTACGTAAACCTATTAAGGTAGAGGTGATTGGAAAAGTACCTCAAATCAGATAAAAACTAACAGAAAAGAGTTTTCTCAGAATAAGGTGCATATAGAACAAATTATGAGTGAAGTGGACTGTGAAATTATTCCAGAAACGAATTTCTAAGAAAACCTGCATAGCGCCTAAAGGACTAATAACCGACGATACACCGGAATCAGTGATGAACCTGGATTGGAGTTGACGGTGTCAGCAGTTCGGAACTAAATGCTTCTTAAAACACTGAAGCGAAATGCCTGCTCAAGCAACTCCTTAAACTATTACAGGAACTCTTTAAGATTCAAGTTGAAACTAAACAACACAATTCGGATGCATTAATATTTATTGACGTCAATCCAACTCTCAGAGCTATGATAACGATAACGACTTCGAATACAAATGAACGATACGAATTAGAGTAGAAATACAAATAAGACTGCGAAACTGAATATGAATATGAATATGAAAATATATCGTGAGTATGAAGATGATATTGAATATGAATACGAATACGAATATAAGTATGAATATGAATCTGAGTATGAGTATGAATACGTAAATAAATATGTATATGAATATGAAAAGAAATATGAGTATGAATATGAATATGAATACGACTATGAAAATAGATATGAGTATGAATATGAATGTGAATATGAATATGAATAGGAATAGGAATAGGAATAGGAATATGAATATGAATATGAATATGAATAGGAATATGAATATGAATATGAATATAAATACAAACGCAAATCCAAAAACGAATGCGAATATCAATATGAATACCAACAAGAATACAAACACGACTAGGGTTTCAAAAGCGAATACAAAATCGAACGTGAATACAAACGTCTGTACTAATAAGAATACATACACGAATTCTACTACAAATACGAATGCGAACGCGAATATGAATACGAATAGTAGAACCGGAAAACACCAAC